GGGAAAAATTGCTCTTTGTGGAAGGTATTATGAATGCTGATAGGTACATTAATGTGCTTCAAAATAACTCAATACACCAAATTAAACAAAAGCGTTTAAACATTGTTGAATGTATCTTCCAACAAGATGGTGCCGCGTGCCATACGGCTAAAAAAGTGAAAAGTTGGATTTTAGAAAACAATTATTCAATTTTAAAATTTACGTAGAGTAGTCCAGACCTATCGCCGATTGAAACCTTGAGGCATATCATGAATAAATAGCTCTGATCGAATCCCGCAACAAGCGTTCCAGAATTGCGAACCCCTCTTCAAGAGGCCACTGTGTCAAGACGTATTGAAGAAGTAATCAGTAATCTTTGCTACAAAAAAAAATAGTATTTTAGGCCAATATTAAATAAACATATCGTATGTTATCGGAAATACATTTTAGCTTTTAATACATTTCCGCTAATATGACAAAATTTCATAAAAAACGTAGTTTTGATAGTTGGGTGAATTTCACTGAGCCAGGGCTCGTATAGTAAATAGGGAAACAATTGTGACAGATTCAGATAGATCACGCTACTGTATCTCATTTATAGCATCAGGTTGGCTAACTTCAGGTAGAAAAACTTCAGAATTAGTGGTATCATTCACCCACAGACTACACCGATTATGATAATTTTATTCTGTATTTTTTCAACTCTTTCTAACTTCAGCGTTTATTGCCGTTTAGGACAAGAACAAATTGTGAGCTTGAAAATTGGTTTTCTGGGTAAGTCGGATGCCCATATTCAAAATCAGAAACCACACAGCAGTAGCACCCACAGAAACGTTCCGGGCGCCTCATTTTCTACCCCAATTTGGATCTCGCGATACTTTGAAACCATCAAAACGTTCACATTTTACTTCAGCGACCTAAGTTACGTAAGTAAGTAAGCAAGCGTAAAAATGCATTCACTTGTAACAACAATTTGAGGTTTCTTACGAGAACACTTTCAAACCTTTCTCTGCGCATCCGTGATCTGGACAAAAAAGGTTTCATGAGTAAAAATTAGGTGCGCATATTAGAATCCATCATCAATTCAGTGTTAGGGCCTACAGAAGGTCTCAAACGACCCAGTTTCTCCATCACAATCGGACCAATGATTCGTTAGAAGGTATTCACGTTTATGTTTGAATCCAGAGCCTCAAATTACCTAGGCTTTTCATGGAAAACGGAAACGCAAGTCAAATATTTGAAAAGTCCTATAGTCAGTTGAGGTCTCTTACAACAAAATTTCCTGAAACCGTTACGTATGTGTAATCTGGACGAAAATTCGTTGTAAGAGTAAAACTTTTCTGCAGATTCAGAATCGGATGTCCATTTGCCGCCATAGCGCTATGAATATTTTGGTTAGTTTGGTTTCAGTAACATATTATTGCCAAGTTTCTTGAACCCTTAACGGGGCTCCTACAATCATGAGCACCATCTGCTGAGGTAACGGGGGGAGGTGAAAATGAAAGGAGGGTGGGCTGGCCTTAGACGGTCGTCGGCGCTACTTTAAAAGAGGAAAGGATAACGGCGGTTGCGTACCGAGGAAAATTTTTATAATAACAAAGTCGGATTTCGATTACCGATCTAGCCTGTAAATCGTTTCCTATTTTGGTACTCAGCAAGTGATCATTTAGTATTGTTCTACCCTTGTTACTGTTCGTCGATATTGTGTTGTTGAATTGTTCTGCTGGACTCTTGTTGGTGTAATTGTTCTTGAGTGCCTTTTTTATCAAGGTTGATAATGGACAATAAAAGGTCATATGCGACAATTTCAATTACAAATGCAGTGAGTTTAATTCATGATGAGGACAACAATAGTGTGGAACAGTTCAACTCTGTAATCGCAAAATACATTGGGGTGAGCGAATAAATAATTGCAAGAAGAGGTCATACCATGGAAGATGTGCTGCAGCTGTAATGAGCCACAATACGGAGCGGCCTGTCTATGTGGTCCAAATAAATTTGCGTTCTAAGCTTAGTCCAACCTCGCTTATCACTAAGATGGAACAAAGACTCAAACGCATGAATCTTGAAACGAAACTCAGACCAAAAAAGGTTGATATAAAAATAACTAACAATTCTTATAGCAATTCCAAAGAAAATGAATAGTTTTATGGCGAATTCTGTCACAAACCTGACATGAACGACATTGATTTGGAGGTTGCTAAGCAAGAATTTTTAGGGAAACTTAGAAAAAGTAACGACAAGATTTTGCAGATCGAACAAGTCACCAAATCACAGGACTGTACTTTGTCGCGCCTTCATCGGAGGATAAGGTTGACAGCGTCTCGATTTGGTGAAGTTTGTAGAAGAAGGCAGACAACAAGCTGTAAAGTTCTAGTAAACTCCATCATATACCCAACAGAGTTTTCTAGTAAGGCAATACAAAAATCATTGGACACGGCAGTTCAATCTTGTGGTTTGTTTATTGATCGCACACATCCATTTCTGGCAGCATCACCTCCATCTACCTATTACAGTAGACAAGACATGTAGATACTTAATCCAGGTATAAGCCTATCTGTTTATTGCTTTGCAAAAACTGCCTAACTGTTTCCTCTTATTTTGACAGCATAAGATATTTTTATGACCCTCGTTTAATTGTCACCATCTACCACATGACCCTTGTAAACATAATTGTGTTTATTGACATGAATAAACGAATTTGAATTTGAGTTCTTGAATTTATTTTAGGAAAGATATAAAATTATTTGAATACATTTTTTCTTAGTCGGAACGCACCGTCGCGTCGCTTGGACTGGCAGGACGAAACAGTAGATGAATTTCGCCCAAAATCCGATTTGCACTTCACAGCCTACGTTTCATTTTTATTATTTCCAAATGAAACTCTTGCAGCGTGCTAAAAATAACGTCCACAGAGTGCCAGCGATCCACTTTTTCGATTTTATCCACTAGGATCTTTTTAAAATATTAAGAAGTAGAGCACAAATAGTAATCATTTCAACCCACCATAATTCTTGCGCAAAGACAAAATTCTGTAAAAAGCTCTGATTAGGTAATTATGTTCTACTAATATCCCGAAAAACATCACAAACTACAGAACACAAATTGAAGGTAACGGCGAAACGGGTACATTTCACGGGTCATGAAATTCAAATGAAAATGCAGGTATAAAATCTACCAAAGTATCATTCTCAAAAACATATTTCCTTGACATATCGATAATTTTAAAGTTCCACGCTAAATTCCCCTATACTTGACTGGAGTGATATCCGAATTTATTCTTCCCTACTGTCGGTAGTTGCAGATCTGTTGGCTCTTGGTGTCAAACCTATAGAGCAGGTACCGATTTTTTCAAATCGTGAGCACATTATTCGTCGGATTTTCGTTTCTTAAATTTCCTGTAATCACTAGGATCCGAAGCTTCTTAATAATAGAACGTGTTACACTGATTTCAACGCCCCCCCCCCCTCTTTTTAAGCAGTACAATTATTTTATGTCAATGATTAGGAACTCCTGAAACGTCATAAACGGAGTTTCAGCAATTGTTACTTTTTCTTTTTTGCCTATAACACTGTCGCCACTGGACTAAAACTACAATGCTTTGGCATACTAGTAACCCCGTGTGGAAATTTCATAAAAATCCGAGCGATAATTTCCAAGTTGATGATGAGTGATGCAGTTTTTCGTGATGCAGATGTCATATGACTTAAAAAACATAACATCTCATTTTTGAAATTTTTCGCGATTACAATACTTCCTCGCCAATGACGTGGGAAGTAAAACGGCTTTAAATTCGAGGAGTAACAGCGATCGCGATTATGAGTACCTATTTGAAGAACGACTTATCTACGCGATATTATATGAAATAGGGCCACTAAATTATCTGAATACGTCCTTTCTTAGTCCGTACAATTGCGACGCAACGCTTGGGTTGGCAGCAGGAAACAGTAGACAAAATTCGTCCAAAATACGATTTGTAGAGGTTTGCGCGCTTCGAATTTGACGCTTTATTTTTTGATACTTTTGGATGAAATTTTCACAGTGTGCTGAAAACAAAACCCCACAGGGTGCTATAGAGCCACTTTTTCATTTTCTTCTCTAAGTTCTTTTTAAAAAAATCGCGAAGTTGTACAAAAGAAGTGCGCACTTCAACCCATCGATCATAAAACTTGTGCAAAACCAAATTTTCTAAAAGTGTTCCTATAATAAATAAATAAAACCGTCTTTATTTTAAACTTGGCGAAGGCCAGCTATGCTGTTAACTTAACCGAGCATGTAAAAGTAACAACAACCCAAAAAGAAAAGTAATATGACAAGAAACAAGTTTTACATAGCACCCTGGGCAATTATCTTCTCAACATACTGTATGAATTTCATTCAAAAATATTGAAAATTAGAGTGTCAGTTTGGAAGCAGCTGAACCCTTGTAATTGGCTTGAAACTCACTGCTTCGGAGCCGCCTTAATGTCCCGATCAAACATGTTTCGGGTACAGCAACAGACATGTTTCAACTAAATGCTTCTGTGCAATGTTGCAAAACATCTAGATCTGTTTTACAATATTGCGCATATAGGTTGCTGTACCTACATCAAATCAGTAGGACGGTAACCAAACCAATAAAAATGTTCATAGGAAGGATTCATGGAGAGTCCCAGACGAACTATTTTCTACCTTAAAATTGGACCAGCGATACTACATGATTTTTTGATACTCGTGTATTCAATGCCTCAAAATATCGAATTGTATCAAGTTACATCCGCTTCTATTAAGAACGGCTGACAATAATGAAAAGAATTTTCTACCCATATTAGAAGTATATCAGAAGTATCTCCAATCATTTTCACATACTACCGAAATAAATATTGATATTTTCTGCAGGAAGAAATACGATAATGCCCCTTTAAGCACTACAATATTCATCCTTCGCCCCTCGTATATACTCTCAGATCACTTCCTGTCACCGAATCAAGGTGGCAGCACCTGTCAGGGCTCAAAACAGTTAAACGTCAACTTTTTCTTTTCTATTTCATGAATTTGTTTCTGGCAGGCTGGCAGCTTATGTGTTTTGTGCCTCTAAGGAAGCTTGGACTGTTAGGGTGTGTTCTTGAGTTATTTTGTGGTTTCCGTTATTTTTCCTTGTTTTTTCACACGATGTGATTTTTGAGCAAATCTAAAGACGACTTTTTCGCCTTGCATCCAAAATTCATCAAGTGACCACTAGAATAATAAAATGGAGGGAACTTCGGAATCGAAAGAAAAATTGCAGTCACCGGTAAGGAAACTAGAGCTAGACAGAAGTCTCAAAACAGTTGAAAAAGCTGTTTTCTATATTATATAATACGCTTGATGATTATTTCCATATTTATTGCTCCTTGCATTGTTTCTTCACTTTACAACTATGAGGACAACCTCAAAAGTCGATGTTCTGTTTAATAACTCGACATTATGCTATAAAAATGATTTCACAGACAACCATGGATAACGATCGGTTAGCAGCTGAGACAGCTGTGAAAATTGAAGTGGTTGAAGTGAAGCAAGAAGTACCTGAGATGATGGAGAGTGAATCTTTTGGAGTTGACCCAAGCACAGTGGCACTACCGATCAAGGAAGAAGACTGCAAAAATTCTGATAGGATAGACATAAATAGGTAGTTTTTTCAGATTTTCTATTTGATTTCCAACCCTGGCAAATGTCATGACTGTATAGTCGTTTTCACAAGTATCTATTATGGTAGAATGATAGCTGATTATCTAGTAATATTTCAAAATTCCCCATATCTACTGTATCTCTAGACGGAGTCATATTTTGTTTTGTTTTTTGTATGCTACATATTCATTTTGTACTTGCTAAAAGCTCTTTTATGCAGAAAAGTTCATTTGCATACAAAAAACAAAATGTTACAAACAAGTTTTACTAGATTTACACCCCATTCATTATTATCATCTCTGCAGTCTACTTAACACAAAAAAGCCACTTGCTGACTGTTTACCTCAGTAGATGTCAAAGCTTGATGGATACTTGTGAAGTAGGGTATATTTACTGTGGGTCAGCCCCTGTTTCTAATGTGATATTTATTGATTATGTAGCCTAGACATTAGTAATTACTGATGCATAAGGTTATCTAGAAATTCACTGATACTGATGGAATCTTCATTAAATACTGATGGTTCAAACCACAGTAAAGACATTAAGGTTACAGGTTTTATGGGTAGAGGGCAACTATGGAAAGTGTGATTTATAACTTTATATAACAGAAGATATTTTCAAAGGAAATCTGTAATGCTAAGGTTTGTCACTAAGTTTGTAGTGCCATCCCTGCGATATACACCAAACTGTTTATAGAACCCTTCAAAAATATGCTAGCTCCATCTTTGAACTTCCCTCTTACACTGTGGAGCTAAATTTGAATTGAATATAAGATATTTTAAGTAAAATGAGGCTCAACCTGATTTTATTTTTAAAATGTGTATTTTGTTAATACAATACATCAAAATTACAGTTATGCAAGTGGTTAGTAATCCAAAAATAATTGGTATTAACATGTAAATTTACAATTAGCAATTTCTCTACTCCCTTCATGAGTTTCGAGACTACTCTGAACATTTTCCAAAACCATACCTAAAAATGGAATTGAATTTCATTATGTTTAAGCAAGGTAAATTTTTCCAAAAATTGTGCAAACCGTAAATACTGTGAAAGTTTTTGGGACCCCAAAATGTTTGAATCATTTAATCCAGATTATTCACTGATTACACAGTGCATGTACCTCATTTATATAATGTGATCAAAGTTATTACTTACTTGAAGATTGAAATTCAGGAAGATGTAGTGTAGGAGAAGCTGCTTTTTCAGACCTCAGACACCAATCTTATATAAATTTGTGACTTTTATTGTCCAAAACTGGATTTCGCACTTGCTCGATCCATTTGTTGAAAAGAGCAGCATCATATTTTGGAACTGTATGCCTTTTATGGATTGTATCAGTACAACCAGGCACCACGCACTTTTTAAATTCCCGCTTTCGATAAGCCTTCATTACAAAGATTAAGTTTGTAAATTTAAATTCAGTTTAATGCTCAATAGTATCACGGGTACAAAACTAATAAAAACGCCGGCGCCGCACAAAATTCAACTTTCAATTCAAAATTACGAATACATCAACGTCAAAGCATTGAACATTGGACCGTCAAAAAGAACGAGGGGAAAATCCAGCATCAGCGCCACTCTGTGGTTGTACTCCGTGCTAACTATGTAAGATTATTTTGTTGCCTACCAAACATACCTTCAAAGTCACACATTTAACTTTCTTTTATAAAGTAGGTGTTATGTGGATATTTTCAAAACCTGTAAATATTGCTAAATATCTTTTAGGGCACTGCTTAGCAGATTCCATGAATTAATTTAGTATTGAAAGCAAATTGTCAGTTCAAAATTGAAATTTTTCTAACCTCAACGTATTATTTCCTCACCATAGATAGTTTTTTTTGAATGTGACTTTTTTAGGATAAAAAATGAACCAGTTGAGGCTGAAAACTGGGGCGAGTGTGCTGTGAAGGAAGAACCAGGTTTAGATCTGACAGATGAAGAACTAGAGGAAGAAATGAACCAGGACTATAGAGTATTCATCAAGGATGAAAGCACTAGTGAATATATAGTGGGGCCAGATGAGCAGGATAGGTAAGACATTTTAACTCACTACTAGATAGAATTATATACTTATACACAGAATAACATACATATTTTAAAAACTGAATTAAAAAATATCTTTTGATTCTTTTTTTAGTATAAATGAAACAGTTTGGACATAGTATTCAATCTGAGAGTGTAGATTGCACTGTTTTCAATCTACCAGGTGTAACAAGGTAATAGAATGACAGATTTTTTCTTGGTAAGGTATTTTTGAGAAAGTTCCAGGTCAGGTCTCCAATAACTTTGGACAAGTATTCCAATGGTAACCTTGGATTTGACCTTGCTCCTTTTTGACACCAAATATGTATTAAAATCTAACGAAGGTCAAATTTTGCAAGGGAAAATCTATAGAAATTGAGCAGGATTATTGAAGAAAGAAAGTCAGATGTTAATAGTAACAAAGATTTCAATGTTGAGCTTGGATTTGACCTTGATCCTCACCTTCAGTGTTATTTCAAAGTAATTTATGTTTTTAATTAATGAATAATCTTGCTGAGCATTGAATTTGTCCTAGCCTCACACATTTTGAACGTAGAATTTTCCGTTCTTTTAATTCCTGACATCAAAATGGAGACTTTTCATTTGAGGAACAAAAATAGACCTTGAAATAACCTAGAAGGTGAGGCTCAACGTCAAGTGTGTGAGGCTAGAAAAAATCTCTACAAGTTTGACAGTATTATTGATGAAAAAAAGGCAGATGTTTATAGTAACAGAAATTTCAGTATTGACCTTAGATTCACGTTCAATGTTATTTTAAGGTTAATTTTTTTTTGCAAAAACGTTCAATAATTCTACTGAACTTCTAGAAATTTTCTCTAGCCTCCTACATTTCAGATAAAAAATTTTCCGTCCTTGCAATTGCCAGTGGCAAAAAGGGGCACCTCATTTGAAAAACAAAAATAGACCTCGAAATAACCTTGAAGATGAGGTCTCATTGAACTCCTTGCTCAAAGGTCCGACCTTGACCTTTTTCAAATATACCTTAGAAAAATACAGAATCCTTCCATTACCTTTTTGCACCTGGTAGATAAAATGAATGAACATGCTTCTCTGAAAGTAGTAATAGGTAATCAATCAGGGTGTCCACTTTCTGAAAATCGGGTTAAGCCATGGAGTGGTCCAGAAAACAAAAGATGCTTAGAAGAAGAGTTATTACAAATCATTTTTCAAATCTATCTCAATTTTTTTTGACGCCAAATGACGCTACAGGTGTATACTACTGACGTTTCAGTCACCTCACAGGCCTTTTTTTAAAGTACAAAATGACAATGAAATATATGTTATGTCTTCCAGGTGATAGTTAATTTGTTTTTTACCGCCACTATTCAGTTGCGCTATTTATTAAAAGCATTTAAAATAATCAAAATAAAACCGACTCCATTCAGGGAAATGTGGACAGCCTGGTGAATTTTGTAAATACAAAATCAAACGCCATATACAATCATATTACTTATATTCCAAATGCTGCGATAATTTTTTATTTTCATGTTTCATCTTAATATATTTTTGTTTAAAGTCCAACACTAACTGCTTAGATCACAGAGTAATTGACAGTTTTGGTCAAAATCTGTATTTCAAATTTTCACTGTGTGTCTTGAGGTAAAACCAAGGAGGGCTATCCTGTTTCATCTGTTTATGTAAAAAAATAGGAAAACTGAACAATATGGCCTTTTTCATGAGTATCCATCATATTTAGACGACTACTGAGATGAACAGCTGTACTGCGTTCGCAAATTTTAGCGTTCTTAATTTTTTGAAGTACCTGTTCTGTCACTTGTCATACTCATAGATTGTTTGTTTATTTGATGTGGTTATCAAAAACTGCTCAGAATTGGCAGAATATATATTTTTCACGATAGATGCTACCTCGTATCCCTAGGGTCTCTTATAATAACTACAATGGTCACATAAAATGTGGTTAGAAGTTAATCAGCTGTCATCAAGTGTCATTACATGACTGTAATAATTTAGGCGTTCTAAAAATAAAGTTTCACAGTATTCCAGAGTAAAATTTCATCTGGCAATCTACATTCCATTACGGTATTACATTACCACTGATCCTCAAGTGACATCTTTGTATTGAAGCCTGTAGTGCTGGCAATAATGAATATGGTAAAACTAGAACCATATTCAGAAGAACTGTTCATACCAAATACCGTCAAGAAGTGTTTATCTTGTTTTATATCTATGCGACTTGTAATATAGTCATGATCATTAGCAGCCATTTTACTTGTAGCGTGTTTGTTCTTGAGTGCGAAGGTACTTTTACTTTTAAATAAAAACGTTCTTAAGAAGTATGATTCCGAACCGTAATAAATACCACAACAGAATACGACTCTGCCCATAGATCTAGATTGACAGATCCATGGAGCTTATACAGAGGTGTTTCAGAAAGATGTACCAATATTTCTAGTGTTGAAGGTACATCCAAAAATAACAATAAAAGTTTCTATAAATTTCTCCTAAGGAATTTTTGTCAAACCTCTCATTTTGGAGATATTTAGGTTTGAATATTTGAGGTATAATCCTAAAATATTATTATGAAAAGGCTTAGCCTGCTCTTTTCTCAAAACACTGAAGCTTGATTTTGAAAACACGATATGGCATGTGAAGAAAGCTATCGTACCTCTTTATACTGTTAATTGAATAATATGCCTGTCTTATCCTCAATCAGTAGCGTAAACGGCTTACCATTCATTACGTCGTGTCTATGTACGCCACTGGTTTACATGGTATACTTCTCCTGGTGTTACCCATGTTAGATTCTTCTATTTGTCTAAAATCACAACTAGTAATTGTGGAAACAAGCAATTTGTGTAAAATTCTTGTTATTTCACTTCAGAAATTATCGGCGTTTTTTCTAAAAGTTCTTCAGCATTTCGGATTAAATGAAAGAAGATAGCACAAATCGTTAGCAACCTCGGACACCGAGTATGAGGCCGAAGTATACAGACGCCTTCCAGCACTGTTCGTATTATGTCAGGTATTTTCCAAAGAGTCAAAGAGTATTTGAGGCGTAATGCATGGGCTTGTGTTGAATCCAGAGGTTGGCACTTTCAACACCTGCCTTAGGTTGGATGTTATAGCATTTATTCGGCATTATTTTTTGTTCCGAATGTTATGTGCTTATAAATTAAGAAATAGCCACGTAAGTAGAATGAATTTGTGTTTATTATGGTCGTGTTTAATTCTTATTAGCGTTATTTATTTCTTTGTTTTGGTGGTGGCAAAGCTTCCTTCATATGCCACATAACGTTTCCAATATCACGTTTCACCGTGTTTTCCGATTAAGCAAAGCTAAACCTTTTCATAAGAATATTTTAAGATTTTACCTGATGTATTCAGACCTGAATGTCTCCAAAACAAGTGATCTGACAATAATTCCTTGAGAGACAAAATTCATGGAAAATTGAATGGTGTTCTATAAATAGAAAAATTTCCTGCTAGGGGTCCAGATACTCCAATTTCTAGGTCGCTGGTTTAGTTTGGGCCGGGAAACTGCTCAGTGAACGCCTGAAAGCTTAACTCATTATCTTTACCTGCTCCGTAGATATAATAATTTTTTTTCAATTTCGAAAATATAACTTCACCCTGTATTTCAGGTGCTCTTCTGGTATATAGGCTCCATGGTAATGGGCACTCGCGAAAAATATTATACATTTTGTGCAGGTTAAAGTTTGAATTTCGGTGCATCTAGGATCTAACTCTAATAACTTCTAAGACCTTAGGTTATTGTAGTATTTTTTACCAGACACGTCAGTTATTGCGATCTGATCAAAAGAGACACAGCAAAGTCTGATACACAAGAGTATTTTTGACATTGACCAAAATCGTCGCTTCTTCTACATCTGACCAGTCAATATTATGTTTGACCATCTACAACAGATATATAACTTTTCCAGTGTTGTGATACAGAGCGTATCAAAGAAAGAACAACTTAAGAATAAGAAACGTAGTAGGAAGTTGTATATTTGTTACAATTGTGATTATACCACATTACATAAGCTTCGCTTAGTAAAACACGTGGATAAATATAAAAAACAGAATAACGCCGATCCCCTGAATTTTGGAAATGAGCTTAAAATATGTGCGCATTGTAATGCAAGATTTAAACGTAAACAAACCCTAGATGATCATAAAATCAAGAAACATCCTGAATTTATTTCAACTATCACTGTAAACATACACGAATGTAAACTTTGTACGTATGAAAGTACAAGAAGTGATTATCTAGCTAAGCATATATTTAAACATACTGAGGCATCTGGTAACTTGAAGCGAAATACGTGTAGCCATTGTAATGCTTATTTCAAATCTGTACCAAATCTGGATAACCATATCATAATGAAACATCCAGAGTTTGCTCCGTCTATTCCTAGGAAAATACACGAGTGTAAACATTGCACATTTAAAACTACCAGTACAACGTGGTTAGCTAAGCATATATTTAAACACCCTGAAGCCGTCGGTAGCCACAAGTTAAGGTCTTGCATGCATTGCAATGTTACTTATGAAAGTAAAGAAACTTTGGATAATCATATACGAGTAATTAGAAAACATCCCGAGTTCATTGACTCTGTTTCTAGAAAAGTCTATAAATGTGCGCGTTGTCCTTATAAAAGTATCATGAAAAGTCATTTTACACGGCATGTTGCGAAGCGGTCTAACGTTAATAAATTCAATGTTTAGCACCGTCAGAGTGAGGATTGCAAACCGGAAATTGTATAAATGGAAATACATATTTTGAATGGTATGTAAATGGGTCCCTATGCTTCGCTTCTTACCCTCTTGCAGTAAAGCTACTTTTCTCTTCTTACTTCTCACACGATTCGCGAAAATTTTCGAATATGATGGTATATGACATCACAAAAAACCTGTCACTCATTTCCGACGGCCTGTCCACTAATCTCAGAACCGCCTGTAACTTGAGGAGTACCGCTCGGGTTTCGATGAAATTTTTACTCAATGGTACTACTATTCCAAGGACGAACAATCATTGTAATTTCTTAAAATTGGTCCAGTGGCAGCAGAGAAAAAGGCCTAAAACGAAAAAAGTAAAAATCGTACTTATTTCTGCCGCATAACACCATAGTATTTTCTATGCTCTGGCCGCGTTACCACGATGCCACTTCTGCCCGAGTTTAAGAATCGGTATAAAATACTTACCAAATGTGAGTGTTCATGCACTGCATTCGGAGATAAGGAGGGGGCAGATGTGCAATATTGTTGTAACACGTACTGAAAAAGAAAGTAAACATTTCGAAAGCTTAAGAGGAACACAAAACAAATATTTTTTCTGGCCTGATATTCAATTAGTGTTACTGTATCCTTTTTTGCTTTGTATCTTAACTAGTCAGTCAAGATTACCCTTCTTCTGTCTGTACAAATATTTTGTCAGATGTTTAATTCTGCAAGGCAAACATAGGAAAATATAAAAACTAGTTAGCTATGTGGTTTTGGTATGCTAAATTTTTTCGATTGAAATTCTTAGCTAGTTTTTGTTGAAAAATTCCTTATTATTGCCGAATTCGGCTTTATCTATTTAACGTATTCCATTGTCAAAAAATTAAATGATTCGAGTGGTCGGTTTGTTGACCTTATTGCGAAGTATCATAAGAAGCTATGTCAATGTATAGCTGTGTTTGAATTCATATTTCAAAATAGGTTTTTTTTTATTGTTAATGTTTTCTAACTGAACCTCGATTCTCGAAATTAATTTCGACACTCCCATCATCTCTATATTGAAATCAGAATCAGGTGGCAAAATTATCATGGCGGATCATATGTATGAGGGCAAGTCTACATCGGAGTTATTAGTTTGAAGAGTAGAAATTCAGTTCAAATGAGGTCCTAGTACCATACCTAAATGGGAATATTGGGAATTTTCTTGTTTTTTTTTCGTACCTCAGAGCCAAACTAGGTAAATCCATGTTTCCTTTACATGAGTTTTATACGGTGAGGTTCATATTTGGCTGGCGTCATAATGTGAACGAGAGAGAAGCTCGAGAAGCGTCCAATATGTATGTTAAGGTACGTACATATGAGCACGCACGCACTGAGCATACGCGCACGCATTCGTTCTCGTGCGTGGAGGGTGTTTAAACTGAAATTCATTTTTGAACGGATGGGCTGATCCAGTTGTTCGCGTACGAGGTTAACATCGAGAATATAGATATAGCCGCTGCAACATTTATTATACTGTATAATTTAATTAGAAGAAAAGAATATCGGAATCGCAGATGTCGTTGGTGGATAACCGAATTTCTACGCAAAAGAAATAATACTTTATTAAAGGAATTACTATCAGACAGTCTGTATGATCAATTCAGAAATTTTACAAGAATGACCAAGGCTGACTTTGAATATCTGCTTACGTTGGTATCACCAATGATAATGAAAAATGATACTCAGCTTAAAAAATCTATATCACTAAGAGAACGCTTAGCCATAACCTTGCGTTGTTGGCAAATTTAGACTCCCACAGCAGGTTGCAATATCTTTTCAGATTGCCAAAATCTTTATTTAGCTATTTTCGCGACGAAATGATCCCATTTGACCAAATTTTTTTATGTGCTTCGCAACAGTCTAAATTTTCAATACTTCAATTGATTACTAGTTGCTGCCATGCATCATTTTTTTTTCGATTCTGAATATCTCCGTGCCTAACGTCCCACGGAACTTTTAATTTCTGAAGCTCTTGCAAGAGTTTTAAAACTGTAGAATTATTCCATTCCATCATTTACTGGACTAAATACAATCAAAACTTCAATACGCGGATTGCGTTCGCTGTTGCTCGCGCACATGAAGACACAGGGTGAGCGTGCAATCATAGCCGTTTACACTTGAGCATTCGCGGTGGATCAGTGCGTGAATGCTCAGATCTAAACGCACCTTTAAACTGCGCCGATGGCATCCGTGGCCTCGATACTCGAGTTGTTAGGCAAGGAGGTACTTGTATCTCTTTCTAACACATGTATTGCACGCTTCTCGTGCTTCTGTCTCGTACTCATTATGATGTTAGTGGCATTTGGATTTCAGTGTATGTTAAATATGTGAAAATTTTGTGAATTTTCATTTTGTGTGTGACTTAACATTGACACAGTCGTAACTTCCTTAATATTACTGCTGGGTGGACGCTACAAGTAGCAATTGAAAACTCGTAATATTATCATGGGCGTAACTTCTTTTAGGCAAACAGGCCCATTCTGGCTCTGAGGTGCAGATATACTTTTATGTGTTAATGTGAAACAGAGCTTCAATTTGACTGCAATCGATTGCCATTTCCATGATCTCAACGCATATTAATCACCATCAGTTTTTCAATGTTTAATCTGAATGCAACAGATCTCACTAAAGCGAGATACTGTAGCGTCATCATTCAGAATTTGTCACGACTATCTTTCTCCTCTCCGCAATTATTAGAAATCCACTTTGAAAAGGTTATTGTCTTGTAGATGGCGCTGTAGCTATATGGTGTCCTGAAAGTTAGTCCTTAACTTTTCAGAAACAATTATGTAATAACAAAGCTAACGTGTAGTGAAACAGCAGCGAAAAGGTAAAAAAAATCAATGGAAAAAACTCGCCGCTCATCGAAATTCCAAGTACAGCTCTATCACTTGAAAGTATTATCCAAAGCTCTCTGCGATAGATTCAAAAAAACATGTACTCACATATGCTCGACGTAGCCAAGCATCGGCGTAAGCTTCCAGAATAGACTGTATTTTCCTAATGAGTGCAGCGGATTGCTAAAGTCGCACACGTAGTTTACTAACCGTGTTCACCTCAGTTTAATACGCTAAACATTTCGTCCTAAACAAAAAAAGAAATCGCGAAGGATCGTGAAAAGCGTTCTGCATGCACTCGCGAAGCCCCGGTAGCATTTCGAAGACACTAATCTTAAAATACTATGGTCAATTCCGATATTTCTGTGTGAGTGTGCAATTTTTTTTTTAGAACCGATGTGTAAAGGTTTTGTTTGGCAACGGGGCCAGCGCCTGGATTGAGTACTGAGTACATATTCACATTTAATCCAGGTGGAGGACCGGATTTGGTTTTGTTTGAGTTTTCTTGATTTTGCGCGGAGCCTACCATGTCGGTAATCTTAAGACTTTGATGTTCATGTTACAACAAAAACTGCTCATCTTTCAAAGATATATATGCCGTGAAAAGTAAAGTCCCAACTTTAAGGACGCCCTGCATAGTTGGCTAGAGCGCAATCTATGAGGCACTATCTTTTAAAAGTAGATTTCTAATTATTTCGGAGAGGAGAAACATAGCTGTAACAAATTCTCATATATAACGCTGTGATATATCAATCCATCTCGATAATTTTTAGAGCGTGCGAGGATAGTATTAGGTTGGCTATCTTCAGGTAGAATATGCTAATAAATAGTTTTACCCACTTTTATCGATTCAATATATAACAATTCATTCTTGTAACACAACCTACATTTTTGATTAAGCAAATATTCGAATAGCGACGTCGACCTTCGGTCGGGCCCTACATATTCCATCAAATGGTGAGCAACTCCAACCGAGGCTTGAGTTTGTATTTTAAGTGTGCCCCCAGCAAACTTTCTCTAACTCCGCCGATGGCTGAGTAACTGGTGGAGTTTCCATCGCTTTGGGGTGATGGTTGTATTTCATTACATGTATGGTCACTTAGAGATGCCTAGGACGTGGACAGAGGAGTTTTATAATTCATGAGTGGACACCCTGATGGAATGCGTGTTATAAAAAGCTGTTGCAGGAAAATCATTTAAATGTCATCAATTCATGAATTCTTATATAGATGTATCTTTTGCAGTGCTGTAAAACATGAGATCTTGAAGAAACATCCTGTTGAGTGTAAAACAGAAAATGCGAAGTTGTTTAGTTGTTATGATTGTATGTTTACTGTATCGAATAAGAACCTTTTAATCAAACATATGAAAGAACACAAAAATATAAAACATGCGCGTCAACGCTGGTCGAGACATATACTTACATGTACGCATTGTAATTCAACATTTAAACAGAAATTCAATATGGATGACCATATAATTCGAAAACATCCTGAATTTATTTCGTCTGTTTCTAGTAAAATACATCAGTGTACACATTGCTCATATAAAACTACTAAGAAGAGCAATTTAACTGATCATATTGAAACACACTCAGAAACATGTGCTAGTTTTAGCACCTGCACTCACTGTAGTGCACCATTTAAAACTAAGAAAGGCCTGTATCATCATATACTTCAAAATCATCCAGATTTTATTTCATCAATATCTAGTAAAATACATCGATGTACACTTTGTGACTATAAAACTACTTACCATAGTGAATTAGCGAGACATAAGTTAAAACATCCTGAAGTAAGTGCTAACTATAAATTCAATAAATGTACACATTGCGATGCAAAGTTTACAAGGAAGGCGGTGCTGAAAGATCATATCTTTAAAGAACATTCAGATTCTATCCCATCTATTTCTACTAAAATACATCAGTGTATACATTGTGGATATAAAACAACTAGGAAGAGTCATTTAACAAGTCATATGTCAAAACATCCTGATCCATCTAACACAGTGTATGAATGTACGCAGTGTTCATATAAAACTACGCGTAAAAGTGATTTAACTAGACATACTTTAAGACATCCTGGATTAACTGCCAAATATAAGCTCAGCAAATGTACGTACTGCGACTCAATATTTAAAAATAAAGCAGTGTTGAGTAGTCATATAATCAAAATGCATCCTGAGTTCATCGCGTCTGTTCCTAGTAAAGTACATCAGTGTACACATTGCTCATATAAAACGACAAGGAAATTTTATTTAACTAGGCATACATTGAAAAATCACCCATCAGAGACGTACAGTAACTATAAACTTACTATATGTAGCCACTGTAAGGCTACATTCACAAGCAAGCAAGGTTTGGATGAGCATATTGTTAGAAAACATCCCGATTTAGTAGCATCTGTTACTAAAAAAGTATATGAATGTACACATTGCACATTTAAGACTCTTACAAAAATCCATTTGAATAAACACATGTCAAAAAAAACTAATTGTAATAAAGCTAAGTTTAATCATTGAGTACCGTTTTTTACAAGATGCCTGTATTTGGATGTTCACTTACTATTTGAATTGTCATAACCCTGTTGACAAGTAGGATCACTAGAATTACTTAAAAAGTATAGTTCACGACAAACTTATTGTGCCTGTTAATATTTTTTTCTGCTTTATGGTACCGAAACGCGTATAGTATCGTAGTAGTACAGAGATGCACGTCTAAATAATGATGAAGGCTGGTACATCTGAATAAAGTAAACATACCAATATGCGATAATTTAAAAAGCACTAATAGTTCTATATAATTGCTTTGGATGCAGCGAGTCTAAAATATATCGCATTGTTTCGATACGGGCATAGTATCAAATTCACATTATTTGATTATGCTATAATGCCAACTCACAATTTTAGCTTCCCCCCATTCCCGTTCATAGCAGTTCCACAGGCTAGCAGGAGCATCCAGACTAGCCGCCAAAAAAGGCTGTTTAACGATCATCGATAAAAAATGTAAACAGACACTATAAGTTTGTCATCAACTATAACAAAAGAGACTTCATTTTTTCCCTTTCAAGACTTTTTAATTCCTCAACATACATACATCTTGAAGGAATCTTCCAAGAAAATATTACAACGATCGACAAGGAAATCCCTGCGACCAAAGACAGGGAGGCAAGGCGAATAAATTAGAAATATAGACATAAAATAACTGATGGTCTAACCATGTCTTTTCTCACAAACGTTTTTTTTTTTTTTAGTTTTGTTTCATCGTCTTTTCTCGTCAACGTTTGAATATTTCACATTTGTGCTTGTTGCTGTCAGTATGACATGTTGCTTGTCGTAGATCGTACGATTTGAGTTTACTTCTGGTTGATCGCACATATAAAATAGCCATGCACAACTACAATGTCGACAGTATGTGTTCATTTTTTTAGATTATTTTTAATAAGTGACCAGAGGCAATGACCTTCTGTTACATAAATTGTGTTAACTAAATCAGTTTCTAAACATTTTCTGTCAGTTTGTCAACACTTCATGGCCAGTCTTTCGATAGATGCCGAACTATCTATGAGCGAAATGCTCGAACAAGGGCTACTCCACGGTATAGTTGACGACAAACTTATAGTGTCTGTTTATATGTTTTATCGTCGGCCGTTCGAACGCCATAAAACCGAAAACGTGGGTTTTTGGCGGCTCGTCTGAATGCACCTGCTAGCTTGTAGAAATGCGGGGCGCGGGAAAGAGGTGAAGGCTAGCGGTGAATTTATTGCTATGCCGAAACAATGCATTTTATTTTAGATTCGCTATATTGCTCAAATGTATAATGTATACTAGTGAACCAGCTTTCATCATTATTATTCCTGTGTCATATCATGTACATACTAAACGCGTGACGGTATCATAAAGAAGCAGAACAAAATAAAAACAGAAGCTATACTCGTGTACTATATCATTTAGTGGAAATTGATATATAGTTATACTTGAGATTTAGAGTGGACACCCTGATTTAACTTTATGAAACAAAAGTAGAATTCTCTATAAAAGTATAAATTTGATTCTTATACAGATATATCTTTTGCAGTGCTATAAAACATGAATTCTTGAAGAAACATCCTGATCAGTGTAAAATAGAAAATGCGGATGTGTTTACTTGTTATAATTGTAATTTTACGGCGTCCAATAAGAACCTTTTAATCGAACATATGGAAGAACACAAAAACAGCACATGCATGTATTGCAATATAATATTTAAACATAAATCCAATATGGATGATCATATGATCGAAAAACATCCTGAATTTATTTTATTCAGTCACTTGGCTGATCATATTGGAAGACACTCAGAATCTGGTAGCTGTGAGAACACTTGCAGTCACTGTGAGGCACGATTTAAAACTATGAAAGCCTTGGGTCACCATATACTTCAAAATCACCCTGATTACATTGGATCAGTATCTAGTAAAATATATCGATGTACACTTTGCGAATATAAAACTACTTACGATAGCGAGTTAACTAGACATAAGTTAAAGCATCCCGAAACAAGTGCTAGCTATAAATTCAGTAAATGTATACATTGTAACGATAAGTTTACAAGTAAATATCTACTTGAGAATCATATTTTTAGAAAACATCCTGATTTTATCGGATCCATTTCTACTAAAATACATCAGTGTACACATTGTGAATATAAAACGACTAGGAAAACTCATTTAACTAGTCATATGACAAAACACACTGATACGTCTAATACTGTGAATCAATGCACATGTACACATTGTAAGTTAATTTTCAAAAGCAAAGCGGTGTTAAGTGGTCATATAACCAAAATGCATCCTGAGCTTATTGCGGCTGATTCTGGCAAAATTCATCAGTGTACGCATTGTTCGTATAAAACCACAAGGAAATTTTATTTAACCAGGCATACATTAAAAAAACACCCATCACAGACGTCTGGTAACTATAAGCTTATTACATGTAGCCACTGTAAGGCTACATTCATAAGCAAGCAGAGCTTAGATGAGCATATTGTAAGGAAACATCCTGATTTTATAGCATCTGTTACTAGGAAAATATACGAATGTACAAATTGCAAATTTAAAACTCTCACAAAAGTTCATTTAGATAAGCACACGTCGAAATCAACTAACTGTAAGAAGTTCGGCCATTGATTAAAGTATTCTAGAAAATGCCTAATCATATGCTGTATTTGGACGTTTGCTTAGGAGTAATAAAACGTACTCTTTTTTCCTTTCAAAGAAAATCGTTCATTCTTAAATCTATATGAGAAATGTGAATAGTCTGTCCAATCTGTCGGCATCACGTCTGAACCACAATACGTAAAAATTTGTACACTTACTAATTGAAACCCGGTTTTATCAGCGAAACTATATAGAATGTTCAAAAAGTTGTATAGATCAAAATATCTCGAAAAACACGTTTCCCAGACAAAAATGTTGTGTAACAAAATTATAAGCCTCAAAAAGATCCATCTAATGGTGACCTTGAACGTGACATTGACTTTGACCTCATTCGAAGGTCAATACAATTTTGTTAAATGGAAACCTGTTCCTGTTTTTACTTTTACTGTTTCTAACAGAAGAACTACTGCACTTCCTCGGTGAACTTTTATTAGTTCTAGAACACAATCACAACTCCTTAACAACTACCCTGGTCAATCTTTCAAACCGTTCAGACACCCGAATACTCGAAGTTACATCGAGCACACTACAACTAAACCTCGTAATTTCTTATTTTGTAATTATTCTCAACACCTTCTCTTAATTACCAGATACGATTACTAAACAATTTTACATTTTTTTTACATTTCACACGTCAAAACATCTCTGATTTTTTCAAATTTGTTTATACAGAGTGGTTTTGTTAAAACATCTGCTACTTGATATTCTGAAGGGTATAATATCAATCTCTACTTCACCTTTTCATTTATAAAGTGAAATCTCACATCTATATGTTTTGATCTTCTGTTAACCTGATTATTTTTAACTAATCATTGCACTCTGATTGTCCACATTCAATGACACATCAACATTTTCACAAATCATGTCTTCAATTAAACACTTTAAATACAATAGTTGTTTAACACATTCTGAAGTTGCTATATATTCAGATTGAGTACTTGACAACGACACTATTGGTTGCTTCCTTGAGCACCATACAATAGGTCCAACACAGTACATTACAACATACCCAGTAGTACTCTTCCTTGTTTCCAAATCACCAACAAAGTCCGAATCACTGTATGATACTACTTCACTTCCATCAGAGTCTTTATAAAATTTTATTCCATAGCTTTCAGTCAATTTCAAGTAGCCTAGCACTCTTTTCATATTTTCTTCATCACTGTTAGTGGGAGTATCAATTTTTCTACTCCCGTAGCCAAACAGCATATGCAATATCTGGTCTTGTTTTATTTGCAACATACAGCAAACTTCCAATCAGCTCACGATAAGGAAATCTTCTATTTACAGGTTGATCTTCTTCTCCTTTATTAGTTTCCATAGTTGTTGTTACTGTTTTTGAATCCCCCATATGGAAGGTTTCTAAAAACGTTATTCTTAAAGAACTAATATTCACCACTGGACTGAATGTTTCTTTATATTCTATTCCATATTTTTCTGCAATGACTCTTTTTCATCTATGATTGCTTTCTTCCATTTTTCTTTGTCTTCACCACTCATAGCTTCTGTATATGTTATCATCACATATTCTTCAAATCTTCATGGTAACCTTATTTCTCTTCTAGGTCTTTGTTCTTCTATGCCTTCTCCTGAGTCTCCAGCATTTTCAATTCGCTCATCTGATTCTTCACTATTTTCTATTTGCTCTTCTGCATTTTCATCTAATGAGCTTCCTGGGATTTCATTTTCTAGATCTTCACTAAATTCTTCTAGTTTCACATGAGAATCACATTTTTCTGTTATTTTTCTTTCATTAAACACATCTGTTCTTATTAAAAGTTTTCTTTGTTCATCATTCCAAAGTCGATATCCATTCAATGAAAATGTATTTCTTACTTCTAAAATCCAATTTTTTTAGTTTTCCAAGCACTTTTACATGTGCTTCACTCCCAAAAATATGTAAATTGGACAGGTTTGGTCTTCTACCCATCCAACTTTCAGCTGGTGTTACTTCCAAAGCTTCACTTGGACTTCTATTTAATATATAAGCAGAAAATCTTACAGCTTCTCCACAAAATGTTTTATTCAATGGTGGCTCAAATAGCACTGCCTTTTCCATTATTGTTCTATTGAGTCTCTCCGCTTTACCATCAAGTTGTGGGGTATAAGGTATTGTGCAGTCAAGAACTATCCCCCTGTGTTTACACCAAGTTTTGAGAGTATTAACCATATTGCCTGCCTGCAGTGTGCATTCACGTCAATGCCTAGCCATTAATCTCAATGCCCGATTAGCAGATTAGATTATAGCCTTTGCAAAATACTCGTGGATATTATACTTAAGATTTACAGTGGACACCCTGGTTAATTTTGCGATGTCAGGTACGT